ACATACAAATACATATTACATCTAAAATTATATATATATACACATATATATATATTATATATACATATACATATACATATACATATACATATACATATAATATACATACCTGTAATATATATATATATATATATATAAATATATATACATATACATATTACATATATACATGAAACATATATATACATATATATATACGTATATATACATATATATATACATATATTATTTATATACATATATATATAAACATATATTTATACATATATGTATAATATATATAAATTTATTTATGGGTAGGTGTGGTTGTATAAATATATTTAATATATATTTATATATATATATATACATTATGTATATTCATACGACAAAAAAAATAGATTAAGTTTTTATATAGTATATATAAACATGTGATATAATATGTAAATAAATAATTTTGAGCTTTTTTTTTGCATGGTGTGACACTGCAGGGCATATCTCTTTATTTATTGTAAAGAACCATATCAATTATGGCAACGTCTCAAATGCTATATTAATGTGCGTTTAAGACGAAGATACATCGGTACATATCTACTTCGCTGTTGAATTGTACTGCTTGCAAGCGCTAATGGTGCAGCAAACAAGCTCACCATGTATTCACACGCAGTTGGATGATTGCTTGTACGTAATTTGCCTAAGTAGTTTGAAATGTTAATTGAACGGAAGGAAGCTTTGAATTTATAAATAGACGGGCAAGGGCGGCGCTGTTTAATAAATGATACAATGATCTACTCGTCGGCCTCGGCGTCATCTCCCTCCTTCTCTTCTCCTGTTCATGACACATAGTAAATTTTATTAATTATACGAATCCTCTGTTTCATTATTTAACACACTGCATACTCTTCTATCTTCGAAGCAACTATAAGAGCAAAACTAGATATTCACGCAAATATAATCAACGTTTTAAAACTTGACGTGGTTCATAATAAACCGTCCTTACCTTGCATGTCTGACGTCCATAGTGTTAGGTTATCCCTCAGAAGCTGCATAACCAATGTGCTGTCCTTGTAACAATCTTCACTTACGTTATCAAGCTCTGCAATAGCGTCATCGAACGCTTGCTTGGCAAGATTGCATGCCTGTGGTAAAGAAAATGATCAGTCAGTACGAATCCTAATTTTTTGCAATGATTGAAATGCAGCCATTAAATTGTTGTGCAAGATTGGTTGCTACCACTTCCTTCTGAAACTATTGACCAATCGAGGCAATAAATAAAAAATGAAAGTGTGGCGGTACTATCATATACTGTAGTCACAATAGACACATACAAGGTAAAATCCATGGAAACGATCACTGGCAAACAAGCACAACAACACCCTACAAACGGGACATAAATGTGAGTAAAACCACGGACTGACCTGGTTGGGTGAGTTCAAGATCTCGTAGTAGAACACGGAGAAATTGAGTGCCAGACCCAGTCGGATGGGGTGTGTGGGCTGTAGCTCATCCTTTGCGATATCAGAGGCAGATTTGTAGGCCTCCAAGGAGTCATCTCCGGACTTTTTTCGGGCATCTCCGGACTGGAACTCGGCCAAGTAACGGTAGTAGTCACCCTTCATCTTGTAGTAGAATACCTGAACGTGCGCGTGGGTCAGACGCGTGTGGTGTCAGCAGTCGGTGGTATGAATTTTCACTCTGGCATACCCAAACTGAATTTTCGTTGAAATATTCACCAACGGCATATAGTTGATTATTTCTCTTAAATTTTGTCACTCCCTCAGAACGATAACGATTCACTACCATTTAGGTGAAAACAACAGTTTCAGTGTGCACGAATATAGATGACCCCTCACACAATACTCACCTTGGACTCTCCAGTCTTCGCAGAGGGGATAAGTTTGCTATCAATGACGCTCATGATGTCTTCGCATACGTTGGTGAGCTCCTGCTCTATCTTCTGGCGGTACGCCTTGATGATCTCTACCTTGGCGGTGTGTCCCCTGCTCTCCTCCTTGGCCTCTACGGACGATACAATGCGCCATGAAGCACGACGAGATCCGATACCGTTCTATACGCAGAGGTGAAATAGAGAAGCGTTTTCTATATAAGTATAAAGGCTATACTGTTTATCTTCTGAAGTGCTATAGAATGAAAAAACCGCTCTACTACATATAACAAAGAATACCTACCAATACATTTATCATAACAGAACATGCTGGGTTTGAATACTGAAAACGAGATAAGAGTTCACAGGCAACCTGGTTCAATGAAGCCTGCAATAAATGTGATACTCAAACACTAAACATAAAATATAAAAGGGACGCCAGACGGTACTGACTCGTACAACGCACTTGGAAGATTATAATAAAACTATCTGCGGCGGGTAACATAACAGGATAAGACATATATTAATCAGCCCCGCCTCTCAAAACCTTTATCTTTCTAGAGAATCTTTTTAAAACATGTCCTGGTTGAAATTCCAGGTAAATGAACTAAGAAACGCTAGCTTCATGAAAGATCACGATACAAATAAACAGTGCGGTACCTTGTAAGCAACGGATAGCAGGTTACGCTCTTCGATGTTAAGCTCCTCTCCTAAGTTGGCTACGAACTTCATGGAATCCACCATCTCGTCGTATCGCTCAGCCTGCTCGGCAAGCATGGCCTTGTAGACAGCGTCGGCTCTAGTGAACGCAAAAGCATATTAAAACGCAAGGTTGGATTAGAAGAACATACTTTCGTTTACTCGCTACGAAAAACAATATTAAATAACAATTTTTCCACGTTAGTACGCGTGTGTCGCTTGTATGGACCGGCACCTGCTTTGTATAGTGCTATCTGGGGTGGCTACGCATCAATGCACAATAGTGAAGAAAATCCCAAGGGAGAACACGGGAAAAGCTTAACAGATGCTGTGTGGACATCATGAAGAGAAGCATGAAGGCACAGTTGATTAAACACGGTCACTAGAAGGTACCTTTGGTCTCCCATTATTGCGGTCTGGTCGTTGTTATAAAAGAATGTTCAGTTTGTCGGTTGTGCTTTGTGTGGTGAGTGTTTGTGTTCGGGGTGTGTTTCGACATTAATTATGGACGATTTGTTATGAAAATTTTATTTCTGCACACGGAGGTCGGAGCGTTAGAAGGCAGAAGCCACTCTGCGACTGGGCCATCTTTCGGTATGAAATAATCATAACACAAACATGTCGTATTTGGAAAACGTACTCAACCGATAAACGTACTTTGCCATTTATTACTCTGGGCGTGGAATTAGGTTTTGAACTGTATATGAATTGGTATCGGGATACAGAATAAGGTCCGTACTTTATCGCTAATTCTGATCTGATATAACAGTAAATCCTATGACTTGTGAGAATATGTATATAGTATCTACTTACATCCTGGTGAAGAATTGGGATAAACAGAATACGACGCCAATCCTAATTTCACACTGATTTGGCTTAAAATGGATGAAGGGCATTGACATTTCATAGTGGCAATAAAATAAACCGAATCCGCCCTTTAGTTACAGACCTTGCTGAATGGAATTCCTGCCAATTTTTCGAAACGTAAACAGAACCGGTTTTTTAAAATGACCCAATTAAATAGCACAGATAGTTTCCGACATACAAAATTTTAAAATCTATGTACTTCAAAATAATTGTATCAAAAATAAAACTTTTCCCTCTATTTCGGTATCGGGTCCATGTGAAATTTTATCAATGATGTTGTAATTGAAAGGTGTATGTTTTTATTTAATTAGTTACAGTTCGCTTTCAGAATTCTCTACCAATCATACGAGTCTTATTCAAAAGTGACAAACTCTGAAGATCTGGTCGCGGTTTCATCTCTAAAATCAGTAAATTCTATGCTTGATCCTTCGTTCAATCTGTTCTATTATTGATATGTGTTTATCGTATTGATATGTTAAATATGATATCACTGCTATTCGTATATCACACGCAGTCCGTTCACTAGAGTCCCGCCTGATTTATGCTACTTCTCTTGAGTTGGCTATGAATCCTCCTTGAATTTAATCGTCTCTGTTTTCTTTGATCTTTCGAGGCACTATGAACTCCACCGGCGCATCCCGACGAATCTGCATTCTAAAGCGGAGCGTATGCCTAATACACATATATATATATATATATATATATATATATATATGTATATCTGTATGTATATCTGTATGTTTTTCTGTATGTACATATGTATGTATATATCTGT